CATGGAGCGAGTTCGTCATTACTTACAGGTCAAGCCAAGCCCTACTTAGTTACAGGAGTTATCCCTTCATTTAAAAGGAGCAGAGGAGCTTAGCTCTGGAGTGATGCAGAATTCGTAAAGCTTGAGTGTGTTTTCTGACTCTTGTATTTTAAGCGTGCAGTGAGTGTTGTGATTTCTCATAGATGTTGTTTCAAGAAATGCTAGATGGAAATTTCTTTCTTTCTAAGGCAGATGGGGCTGCATATCATGACACTTTCATTGTGTAAGATGTAGTGAGGATGAAGCTCTTGTGCCCATATGTTAATGTGCGCTAAGTCTTTCCTTGCAGAACGTTTGGCTACAATGTAAAGAATGAAAATGCAGAGGAATGAAAAAAAACCAAGTGTCTCTTTATAGAGTTCCTCTTCTGTGGTGTACACAATGAAATACAGTGTCAATTTTTAGGCTAATTAATACTGTACTCTTCTTGATAAATTGTGTGTTTTCATCTAGTGCTCCTTCAGATTTTTCATTAGTACATTTTAATTCTTAGTAAACTGCCTTCCAAACAAAAACTTAAAAAATAATTAGATGGTGTACGAAAGTGTGTGCTGGTTACTCTATCTTCTTTGTATTCTCATTTAACTCCTAAACAAAAGGATGAAATCCTGTTTGCCCTATTAATTCCTAGCTTGTAATTTGCAAGTTAAAAAGCCATTTATCCTGCATAGATATAAATAACAGGGGGTTCTCCAGTTGCATATGGCACAAGACAACTCTTTTTTTTTTTTAAATACCTTGAATGACTGTATTAGAACACATTTTCAAATTGAAAACATGAACATAAATCATGTTTTCATGGATTTCTATGAAAATAAATCATGGATATATTTTATTAAATAGTGTATTCAAACTTCTGTATGTACAACTGTGTCACTAATACCAAATAGCAAGATCATATTCTATTGTGACAACACTTGCACAAGCCTTCTGCTTTCAGACTTCCCAACAAAGCAAAAACATTGCAAAAGATTTTTAATCTGTGCAATAGGAAGCGGTATTGATTTAAGAAGACAGCAAGAGTTACAAGATCCTGTCAAGTTATTTGTGTGTTATTTGTGTGTACTGAGAGCAACTGAAATCACCTGGAGATGTCATCTGGGACAAGCTAGTTTCTGTTTTGTTCCTAAGGGTGTTCTTGATGTGATTACTCAAAGAGGTTTCATAAATGTTCTCTGTCCCTCTGGCTCGACAGCTGTTGCTCTCTTCTCTCTTTAGCTTCCCACAGGAAAGCCTACACAGTCCCTAATGTCCGATTTGTTAAATTGTATGTGCTTATCCTTTTTTGTTCATGCATGAGGTCTACTTAATTCAGGTGGGATAACCATTGTGTCTAAGGTGAACGGGATTCACCTTGCTGTAAGGGCAAAGCAGAATTTATAAATGCTTTTGGAAAATAGACCACATGTATGCTTAGTGTCAAAGTTCCTGACTTCAGTAGTAGGTAAGTCAGACCTCAAACATGCAAGGAGTTTTAGCTATGCTGCACGCCATTATTTAGTTCCCTTTAAAAAGTGGTTTTGCCATTTGCCGTCTCCATCTTTTAGAACAGGGATAACAGATGAACAGAAAGATCACAAATGTCACAAATTAGAAACAAACCCTCTCTTTTATTGAATTTTATACTGTTACACAATCAAAAAGAAATACAGTCACAATTATGTCAAAATGTTTCAAGAGAAATATCAATTGCAATATGTTGTACTTGGTTCCAAAAAAGAATTCCATTAAAATATACCACTTCTTCATGAGAGAATACTGCTATTATTCACAAAATCTACCATACTGTATAAATCCAGTAGCAAACTCTTTAACTTTTTGGTAACTTGGCAAGCCTTGCTCAAGGTAAACAGGGAAGCAGAAGGAAAATGACAACTCATTTCTAGAATTTGGATCAAAAAATCACAGTTCTCCAGAATGGATCTTTCCAGAGAGTCAAATGCCTAATTGCTAATGTTAGTTTTAATGAAAGCTGGATACCCAACTGACATGAATTCCTATGAAAATGGTCTTCTTATAAAGTACTTTCTGGCCTGTGAAATGTTTATTTTCATGCTGGACAATTACAGTTTGAATAATGCACGTAAGTGCAGTGACACTGAGTGAGATGTGTGTTCTGTTCAGTAGCAGCTAATCAGTGGGGACAGGAGCAGATGGTTGACCTCCGGCATGTCCAGCTGCAGCCTGGTTCACAGTGGTCAGGTACTCACAACTTCCACAGCGCTGCTCATCAAAGAAAACAGTTCATTCAGCAGGGTAACAGTGGAGAAAGCTTGCCAACAGATACTGGTGAAACAGCCCACATTCCTGCCTTTAGCTACCACTATTTAGCTGTTTAATTAAATGGCTTTTTAAGTAATGAAAAACTATTATTAAATATGCAATAGTTTAACCTCATCAGACTTTTCTGATTCCTACCGTTGTATTTCATTGGAAGCAGAGCTGATCAATTCATCCAAAATAAGCTTTGAAGTCTTTAAATTGTCACCAGTGTTATGTGTAAAGTTTTAATTGTCCTTTCTGGCCTTAATCTACAATTCTTGAATTCAATAGTTACTTGGGGAGAGTTTGATGTGTGTACACAGACACACAGGAAAGGAAACTTCACAGCAAATGGTTTCCATTTCACCCAAAGGTTTTCAAAGATAAACATACAGTCCAAAGCTATCTCACTACAGGGGAGGAAGGTATGTTAGAAAGGCATACTTTGGACTTCAGGCTACCTTAATTTACTCAGTATATTACACCTGAGATCAAGTTACTGGACAGCAGACTTAAGTGACTTCTTGGGAGCTACAGCTGTCGTTAATTATAACTACTTTCAGGTAAAGGAATGAATAATGTCACCATAAATACTAGTTTAAAAATTCCTTTACCTTTTTACAAAGCCATCACTGTTGTTGATAAAAACATCAATTAGAACCCATATGTAAAAAATAATAATTGTGCTATGCCATGAAGGAGGCATGGCTTGACTACTGCTGTAGTCATGATAACCTTCTGGAAGCTAGCTTTGTTATTCTCCTCAGTTTACCATTTCCACATAATCTAGCATGTTTCATATGCAGAAGGAAACTCTGTATCTACTTACAGTTTCTCTTTACTACTGCTGAACAATAAATGCTCTAATGTAGTGCCTCAACATTTTAAAAGGTAGCAAGTCAGCAAATAAATTATTTAAAATCACTAAGAAAACATTTAGAAATTAGTGTATTCCAGAAGCTTGTCCTCAAAAGTACGTTCAGAATCAGGCTGTGTATTCCCAGAGTCTAAGCAAAAACAAACAAACAAAAACCAAAACCAAACCAAAGAGGCAGCTAAAAGGTATCCTTTTAGATTTTGTGAACTTGCATCTGCATTTAGCAAAGCTCTTACAAGGCCAGAGCAATTACTCTTACTTTTCTCTCTTTTTTTTTCTTCACTGTCTCTAGGAGGTTTTTTTTTGTTTGGTGTTTGTTCCTTGCCCCCCCCAGAGTAAACCAATACAGCTACTGCAGTTCATTCCATTAATTGCTTGTTTCAGTCCCTTTACCAGGACAGTAAACAAAATGCTATGCCTTGTTATTATGTATAATAAAAAATTTGATAGTTGGGAAGATTCTTAGATGAAACATGGCTCATTTAAATCCACAGCTGCTGTCACTAAGACCAGAGATGATTCCAGTGGGCTCCTAATCATAAATCATGTGGGTCACTGAAGTTTTCCTCCTCTTTTTAACATGGATTTTTCTCTGTGAAAATTTACTGCCCTCTTAAAGTACACTGAAGAGGAACTGACAGATCCAAACAGGTCAGGCTCCTCCAAAATAAGGTCAAGAGAGTAGCCGAACAACATCAAGCAGGAAGGTATGAAGTTTCTCTTGGGAGATGAAAAGGGATAACCCACCAGGCCAGCTCAAAGCTTGCCGGGGCAGTAAGAAAAGCAGAACCCACTTGTACCTTTCATGTGTCTACAAGACTCCTCACTACCTCACAGAAGCATCATGTCAACCCATGCAGAGCTGAGCATAAGGGATGCCCCTACCAGCTGGTGCTTTACCTGAGCCGTTAGCAACTTCACTATCAAACCTTTTAACTGCTGACAGAGAAACGCCATCCAAGAAACCTCACACAGCAGGTATGCAGTAGCTCTGCTGCTTTTGTCCAGAGAACTTCATAAGCTTTGTACACTTAAAGGCTGCATTAAAAACCTTTACTATTCAGTAGCAGGTGTATATATTCAAAACGTTCTTATTCAAAGTGCTCTCTGCACGAAGCTTCAACTCCAGCTTAGTGCACCTACATGTCTTCTCGTCTCTTTGTGCGACTTCTACTCAAACTGTAAGAAGCATGCAACCATTTTCTGCTACCAGTGCCTTATCTTTTTTTAGTTGGTAGCTAATAGTCTCCATTAATTAATACAGTTGTGTCAGTTTGAAAAATGCTCTTTTCAGTGAAACAGTAACAGTAATTTTAGGAAACAGATTAAGCTTATGTACCATTATGTTGATTTCAAGAGAGTCCAATGACACCGAAGTTTCCAAAGTAAAAACAAAATAACTATTGTGACACTCCACGTTTGATTTCTTACATTGAGAGATGTTTTTTTAAAGTTGTTTGAAGAATGCACAGAATATCTTGACCATATTTACACATTACAAGGCTGTATCAGTAGCACTGTGTTTTATGACAGCGAAGTGAGAAAAGTCACCTAGTCAAAGTTCTTAAGTCAACAGCACAAGACTGTAGAACAAGCTTTACCATCAAGTACCAGCTTAATTTTTTAATCATGTAGTTTTGTGATAAAAATCCATCTTTAATTGATCACTCCTGTGAATTTTACCTTCTTCCCTGCATTCCAGTGTTACCTTGATAAAGCTTCCAGAGACAAACCTTTAAGCTGTTCACAAGGAAGAATCTTTCCACTCTAAAGTAACACAAATATGCTGTCTCCTCACTTTCAAGTTTGCTAACTGGTGTGGTAACAGATTTAAAAAATTAACATCTTTGGCGAGCGGTAGTACAACACTGTCTAGGAGACTTCAGTACTGAATAGGCTCAAATAATTAACACGGAGATGTTACAATCAAAGTAAGGAACCAGTGATTTCCAATCAACTCTAAGTTAAAAAGGGAATACGGATGAACAATAACCACTAACAAAAATATAAATTATCTCATTTCTCTCAGATAAGACACTCCCCAAGGGGGCCTGGTCCACATATAGTTTATTGATGTAAGAAAACAATACAGTTAGTGTTAGATCCAACCACAAAGAGCAAAAGAATGAGTGAATGAAGGTTTTGTACAGTACATATAGGAAAATAAGATGTTTGTGACAACTATATATTTCTAAATAAAAAGGCTTCTAAATATATTCAAGTTATTGAAATCTACATGAAAACATATGGATGTTAATAGCAACAAGGTGCATAAAACCAAAACATCAAAATATTGAGCAACTCAATGAAGTACTAGATAAAACTTTGCTAACAATGCAAGATGTTTTACAATCTGCTTGAAATATCACCTATACCACACAGGGTAAGCGGAACATTTAGATTTAAGATCATACATGATATCAGCATTAACTTCAACAACTACAGGCAGGGAATTTTTTTTTTAAGCTGGCAAAGTGACTACTTTAAGAACATCAAACTCTCTCTAAATTGAGAACGTATCCAAATAAAATGCTGCTAGCCCTTTCCAGATAAAGCCTTTCCTTTGACTAACCACACTCACTTAAGTCAAAAGCATAAGACAGCATTTAAGAACAATTTATATTACAATGTGACTAAAATAATGACATAATCCAGGTTTAAACATGATTTCATAGGCAAACAAAAGAAGATTCTTCTTAAAAACTAGTTTTTATAAATGCAGAATATATTGCATGAGGAACTGCTGGTATTTTTTAAGAAAATATATTGTGCGATTGTGGCTACAATGCACTGCTGCGAAGCATTGTTGTTTCTTATAAAAACTATTAAAATAAAAAACTTATTTGAACATAAAGAGTAAGAGAGCACAAGTCTTCCAACTACCTATGAAGAGCAGGATGGAAGTATTGCCAGTTTCTCCTGTGTTGACATTTTACTAACAATAAGTTTTGGTGACCAACTCCCCAGCCAAAAAATAAATATTTTTTTTAAAATCAGGTGCATATTTCAAAGCTGCTATTGCAAGTGTGTTTTAAATGTAATGGACTTAAAAGTGTATGTACCAAAGAATTATAAAAATGCACTATAGTTTGAGTTATTGTTACATAAAGAACATATTAAAAAGACTGTCAAAATAAGTAGAAAGGGGATCAAAACTGAACTAACTGAATTAGTGCAGTACTGTAGCCAGGCTTCTAAAATCAGATATAGAAAATATAAATAGACTGCTTTAGGTGATGATTCACCAGTGTCCAAAAAAAGGAACAAGTATTGTGAAAGCTCAGTTAACTTGATCCAGAGCTCTGAGCAGTTCTTCACCCTGTAGCAGGTTTCTGTTGCCTTGTATGGGAGCGTTTACTTCGCAATCATAACTCGTGAGTTGGGGCAGTCCACTTTCATCCATCGACTGCCCTAGAAGTTTACTTGCTATGTCTAAAGAGGGAGGGGAAGGAGAAAAAGTGCACTTTATTCACCATGCTTAACCTTTGCTCCAAAATTGTTCATAAAGGAGGTAAGTTTGGATATGTTTTTGTCACTCAGTTCTCTTTCACTCAGACCCCCTCCACCTCCCTCTATGTATTACAAGAAGATACTAACCAGTTGATAGTAGAATGATTGTCTTTTGCTCCACTCCACTATGACCACTTGTTTTGCATCCCTTTACACGTTTCCAAGCAAGTGATGCATTTCCTCCACGGTCACCTGTCTGCTGGAATAAAGACCCCTAGAAAGAAATAAATCACATCTTCTTTATTGAATACTGTATCTTTCTAGCCCTCCACATCCCTCTTTCAAATTAACCGTTCCTGTCACTAATTACCGATGTAGGCATTGTTACAACTTAAAGTGGACTTCATTCAGAACTTAGGGCGAAATATATTTCCAAGTACACTGGCCTTGAAAATTATTTAAAAGAAAACTGAATCAGATTTCAAGACCTTAGTTCCCTTACAGAAAACCATTACTAAATCCTGGTTATCATCAGTTACCATGCTCAAGATTAGCATGTACATGTACACATACACACTCATTTAATTACCACTGCTCTTATCTGAGTAAGCATCAGGTTTTTACTGAAGTCCCTAATGGTTTTCTGCACTGGAATTAATAGTGTAGACAGGAGATTCAGGAACCTCGGTAGGTCGATTCTATCTAAATTTAAGATGTAAATTCTGCTTGCACTCCAGTTATTGCCGCCAAGCCATCTGACCCAAGTCTTGTGGGGAATGCAGTCCTAAGCCATTATATTACAGATATCGCTCCTTAGCATATTGTTTTGACAGCAACATAGAAGATATGGAGATTAGAAAGTTTTAAGGGTTCCATATAATTAGGACAAGTAAGAAGAAGCTGCCACTGAAAGAGATGGGATGGAAGGAAAAAACGCCACCTTAGTGCCAAGTTTGCTAGCAAAAGCAGTTGCATCTGCAAAGTTTTGTCTTGTTAGTAGTACTGACTGCTGCAAAAAGAGGAAAAGGTATTTCAGAATGCTGCCATTATCCTGAACGCTTAAAATAGTATAGAACATATGTTTTCAGGTTATAAAACAGCCATGCAAGTCAAAAGGACAGTTGTGTAACAGAAGTTATAGTTAAACTACTCGGACTTCGAAGCTGCATTTCATAGTAAGGTCAGTCACCCACATTGTTGCTGGTTTTTTTTTGTTTGTTTGTTTTGTTTTTTTTCTGTGAATGCAATACAGCCCTTCATATTAAGATAGATATAGCTCATATCTTTTTCAATGTAATGATTTGGATCATTATTTCCTAATCTTACTATAACACATCTTGCCCTTGTCTAATTCTCCTTTTTGCTAAAGAACTACAGTAGTATTTTACTTTGGTCTTCACTTATTTTCACTCTTTGCAAAGTAAGTCCCGCTTCCTTATAGCTAAGAAGTTGTGGCAAGTTTTTGCACAATCCCAGAATACCATGTATTATAAGCCTAGATTTAACATCATTTTTCTTCTGTGCATGTGCAAGGCCTAGTTCATCTGCTCAGAAATCCATGGAGAAAGCAGCCAAACAACAAAATAACTTGCTTGAAATAACATCAGTAAGACCCAGGTACATGGAAAACTCAGCTTCTGACTGTGCAGAAACCATCAAAATATTTACAACACTTCTGTCAAATACAGAAAAAAGAAAAGACGTTTGAACTTATAAGCATCAAAAAGCACTAAGTATAGAAGCCTGAACACTATTACAGCAGTTAATACACAACTGCTTGTGTTCTGTGTATTTAATGACATCCCATGCTATTTTGAATATTTTATCAGCCACACTATGACAGCTGTAGCATCATTGCATGAGAAAAAGGCAACGGAAGGCAATAAAATTTCTTGCAGAGCTGTGAATTCTTACAGGGCTATTGGAAGCAACGGAACAACATGCATGAAAGTGCAAAGCATTTAGCAAATGAAAACAACAGCATAAGTATGATTTTTTTTTTTCTTTAAATAAAGTCTGCTTGCCTCCTATAAAAAAATGGACATATAAAAGCTTTCTCAGCTCTTCTAGAGGAGAGCAATGATAAAGACAGTATGCAGTGATTTGTCTCATGCCCAAACCAGAATGCTAATACAGGAGTAATTCATAGTTCAGAAGAAAAGTAATCCTGCACTGTAAGACATGATGGATAACTACACCTAGGAGATGAACGACTAGAGAAAGAAAAGAATTTCAAAGGCTGCATTGCAGTAGAGGAACTAAGAATTAACTGTGCAAAAGTTAAGAGAAGTGGGAATTTGCAATGAAGGCAAGAAAAGAGGTAATAGTATGTAATGGCAAAGCTCAAGATTTCAAAATACTAAGAACTGACAGTAAGAGACAAAGGTTATGGAGACAAAATACCCTCACAGAAAATAACAAGCTGGATAGGCCCAATTAAGTGACACAAATCTAAGAATACTTAAAAAGTTTCTTTTGTATAGCTAGGACAGATGATGATGAGCTACTCGCAATCACACACACTAATACTAAAGAGAGTGTCCATGAAATGAAAGTGGCAGTAATATACATTTGCTAGGTTATATGAATTCTATTCCCTTATGGTTCAGATGGTCTTGTATCTGATCAAATAAAGGAATCTCAGACTCGATGGAAAAATGAAAGCATAGAAAGAAGCATTAGAACACTATCTCCAGTATTGAAAAATATGAAAATTGAGTTTGAATTCAAAAGTGAAATAAATATGGCAATTATAAACTTAAATGTGATGCCTTACATTTATGCATATTCTACTGAAGAACATACATGTTCACAAAAGAGTATCTTCTACCTAATCAAGAAATATGCTTGGGTCTAGAGGGCACTTTTGAAACAGCTGACAGTAAAAAAAGAACTAAAATCGGAGTATCTGCATATATGTGGGAATTTCACTATCGAACAATTTTCTCCGATCCCAAGATTCCACTGCATACCAACAGTTAAACTCAGTAGTCTGTACTGATGCCTCATTTCAGAAATTGCAAGGTTAAAAATGAATATTTTAAAATGGTAAAACAAAACTCACAATTCCAACTGCCTGAAAAAGTGAACCATCATGTTCCATTTTTCGTTTTCTCTGAGCATTATGCAAAGCTAGCATCTTTGGATTTAGTTCTTCATCCATTGCAGTAGATCTAAGAAAAATTGATTCAGGCTGTTAAGACGTTTCTACTATCCTCAAGCCATTCTTCTTTTGTGGACACTTAAATACAATATCACAGAACTGAATTTATGAACTATACTACTTTTCTTTCATAATCAACTCATTTCAACAATCATTGTCTATGAGCATAGCAAATGTTAGCTTTTAATCTTGCTGTGAAGCTCAGAATGAGTTATAACAAAAATTTTAAAGTCTTTGCAGAAAAAAAAGCATAAAAGTTCAGCAATTCACTTTCAACAGAAAGAAGGGAGGGAAGGGTGAGGAAAAGTCTATTCTGAATATTTCTATGTACAGATAAATCTTCTATGTATCAGAAGTGTGATGTTTGACTTCGTAGTTTTCTATCATGATAACTACATATGCCACAGTCCATCATTATGAAATATAGCTCATTTTAAAAGCAATAAATGTAGCACACAGACTGTAGTCGCCTCTTACCTCATAACGAAGTAGACAAGAAAATCACCAGAAATATTGTGTGGGTATAACTACTTGTAAATTGCCTACTGCATTCTTTTAAAAAGGCTGCATGTCAGATACAAGAGCAGAACAAAATTATGAACACAGTTTGCATATAGTAGCTGCCTATGACATAAGATGTTTATGCAAAAGCTACTGCAAAATTAACTTCAGCAAAGCTTACTATAAAAAAAACCCCAAACTTGTTTGAAATGTCCAAATTTAAATGTATCAATTTCTACTTTGAAGTAGAATGCTGAAGACAACATAAAACACTTGGCAGTATTTAAAAGTGTATTATATCTAATTTCTTCAACAGACACTAGGGCTTAAGCTTTGCTTTTAAAATACCTTTTATTCAGAGTGACTGTTAGCAAACCAGGCGCTCCTGGACAAGATTTTTCCGTCTGATCCAATGTTCCTTTTCCCGCTCTGATTGGAGACGCAGTTCGACTCCTGTTCCCACCGTAAGGTGATGCTGGGGCACTACTCGTTTCATTGATTATGTGGACAGGAGATGAAGGGACAACTAGTGTCTTCACGTCATCCACGTGTTCTGTCACTGGTTTTATTTCATCAGCAGTGCTTGATGGTGTCTGAGTCTGCTGAAATATGGTAATGGTGGCTGCATTTTGAGAGCTGGAAGAACTGCTTTCCAGCGGAGATAGCTGATCAAAGGATCGCAACTGGAAGTCATCATCCATTGGGATGTAAGGAGCCAACATCTCCAAATCTAAATCAGTTTCCTGGAAAAGACGAGAGGAAAAATTATAAATATGTAAAAACATCTCAGCTATGACTTCACGGCTTCATTAAGGCTCTTTCTTTTACCAAATCCTTACAAATTTTTTTTGCAGTTCATTTTAATAAAAATATTACGTAAAAGAGGAAGGAGGTTCCTGAAGACATTCTAAGAGAAGCACATTGAGAATAAGTATTAAGATGATACAGAATTTTAAGTTAATGTACATTACCTGAGTAGAGAATGGATTTTTTGCCTCTGTATCTATCGCAAAGAGTTTCTCCACTAATTCCAGTTTGAATTCATTAGCCATATCATTATCCACATCAAAGCAGTAGTCGTTGGGACTACTGGGCTGTGAAAACATTTTGAGCATGGTTTTAGGTTTCTGTCATTACATCATTTTGCATTGTATCTACAGATTCTCTGAAAAATGTTCTCATGTAAAAACTAACTCCAAGCTAGAGTTGCACAAAATTGAAGTGGGAAAGGAAAACACATTTGTCAGTATGCATTCAAATTTACCCCACTTGGGAAGCACACAATTAGTTGGAACCTGGAAGTAGCCTCTACAGTAATTTACTGCAACTAATTTGCTGTTTACAGAAGTTGTCTCTGAACCATTCTTTTCTAGAAAGACCAATCCCAAGCTCTCCTTATTTCTATCAGGTGGTATTGCATGCATTTGCAAGACTCACTTTAACGAGAAGATAATTCTTAGTATGAAAATTTATCTTTTTCCTCAGATCATGGCACGAGCTTAACAAAGTCACAACTTAGAAATAATTTTTAATTCCTGTCTTGGCTGCATCCTTAACCAGATTTGCTCCACAAGGCCCAACAGCACATACATTTTAATGACAACACATCCGAATTACGTAACTAACCTCAGGTGAACTTTGGCTGGTACTTGCATCAGAAGGGCTGGTTGGTTGCTCTTGCACCTGAGGCATGGTAAAAGAAAGTTCGAGTGGCTCTGCGTTTGGCTCCAGCTTTAATACAACTTCTCTATTGAGTGCAGGATCAGCATTGCTACGAAGCGGCTTTGTAGTTTCAGAGGCAGGTAGTGGGGACATTGCCATACTTATATTCTGCAATTTCTCACTGGATGAGGGGAGCATTACATCGTTATACAAAGGAACTTCATCACATTGTTGTTCATCAGACTCTATAAAAATTAAAAGAAACCATCAACCTAAGTAACAATACTGAGCCTGTCTACGGACCTCATTAAATTTGAACAGCAGCTGAAATACCACTAGGCAAGTGATACTGGGAGGTTATTTTTCAAAATTTACTGTAAAATGCTAACTTTACTAATTAGCATGCTCTCCAATTTAAACACACACCCACCATTACTGCTGAAATCTAGAGAGATAATTGTGTCTCCAGCAGCTGGGGCCAGCACAGTTAAAGCATCTGGTTCCTGTTTAAGTTTTTCAAAAAGGCTGTTGGTATCATCCAGGTCATCTTTGCTGAATATTTTGGTCATTTTCATATCGGGAGACTCCACTGGTTTCAGCATACACTCAGTTTGTCCAAGGGAAAAAATCAAGTCCTTCTGAACAATTCCACTGTTAGAGAGGAAGATGACTGTTAAAGAACAGCTAAAAGGAATATATTTGGGCTTAACAGTTGCCAAAAAAAACCAAACCAAACCAAAACAAAC